CTGTTACGATTAAGTCACTTTTTACACTCCACTATTACTACGCCCCAGTTCACCGCACAAATAGTCTGGTCATTCAAGGGATCATTCTTTTATTACCACAAATTCGCTTCACACGTGCAACTGCAGCCACACACACAGTTTTACGTCTGGCGTCATCCTTTTCTAGGACACCATCGACTGTAGATAGTCCAATTAATGATTTAGGTTCTTAATCAATGAGGCGGTAAATTAACTGCACCACTAAATTGCGCTTTAAAGAAAGTTTAAGCCGTTCTTGCATTTCTAATAATGTGCACAAGCTTGTCCCCACCAGTCGAAACTTCACCAAAACCCCCTTTTTACTTCCTTCTTCTTTGTGTCTACCAACAGTACTGCATTCGATATCCCCTTTATCCAGCAGCCGACCCTTTCATACGCAAGTCAATTTCACTCCCACACAGTACATGTAGGGATTGAGAGTTGCTTTTTTCTGGATATATTTGTGCATGGACGTAGACGTCTTCCCATCTTCCCGCCACTATCTCCACAATTAATAACACTACCAGTGAGACAATCACAACAGGTGCTGACTTAGACATCCTCATCGCCTGTTGAGCATTCATCCTCCATGGCAGCCGACAATCACCTACCCTCCCTCGACCTTGCCTCCTCATCTAAAACCCCTTCTTTAACTTATCCAAACCGCATCCACAATCGCTACCTTAACAGGACTATTATCGCTCGTACTTTGATGTGCACACCTACTCTTCATGACCTTTGCCAAATACAGCCAACAATTAGCAAAATTGGCATTTTGTGGTTTTATTGTAAAAAAAGTTAACTACTCCTTTCTTCCTACACACTTCAGAACTCGTTTTGCTTCTTCTACTCACCCCTAATCGTCCATATTTCCACATTTCCGCAGAGCTCATCCAGAGTATTCGGTAGGAGTGCGGTCTGATCGACTAACACTGTGGTGCGAAGTCCGATAACAACGATATTGATTGGTGGGGAAGGAGTCCAATTGTAACCTATCTGGCTTTCTGATTGCAAACCCGTGTACAGATATACATGAGCAGGCGGTGAGGTGGCAGGTGACACCCTCTCAGGTAGGACGCACATATATCACGTCATCTGCCGTAGCCAATATGTCTCTACTTTTGACACTAGAACTATCAATCATCGAGTTTAGTTTAGTCATTTTGGACGTGGACGACGACCGCGAGTCTACTTTTTTGCCTACATTGAAGTTTACGAAGAGGCCTTCAACTTATATGGGGTCGGAGAAGCTAGATGCCGTTGACTCAAATTAAATGCCAAAAGTTTTGATTGTCATTGACTTAATGAATAATTAGGCATCTACTTCTTCGTAACTCTCATGTGATCGAAGTAGCAATAGCAGTCGACCGGAGAAACAGCGGGGCGGCGAATCTAGTCCAGCTTTTGCACAGATTGGTGGCACATGAAATCCCATGTTTTTTCTAAATATGCAGCCACCTCCGCGAAAAAATGATATGCATTTGACACGATACAGTTCACTCCGCATACCAGTAGGGACCAGGTTATATGGCAAATGTTTTACATTTCAATCATTAGAATGAAAATTGTATTAAACCGATACCTTTGAGTGAACAATGTGCAGAAACTACATTTATCTTTCGATGTAATGCACTGCACCACTTGGTGCACCCATTCTCTCCTCTGACTGTTGCTGAAGGCAGATTTGTCGCTACGTCTATATCTAAAATTCACATTTTGGGTATGGTATGAGATCTGCGGTAAGTGTACTTATGCTATTTGTCCCACTTGCAGTACTCTGATTTTGGCGCATTGTCCTGTTGTGACAGTCCCGAAATGCGGCAGAGTTTGCTCTTTTGGTAGAAATTGGACTAAAAATGACATTTTCTTTAAGAGAAGAATTAAACTGACACCTATTGCAACAAACAAAATATACTTCCATAGATGTAACATACCTAGATAATGTGGGATAATATGAAAATTTGGATAAGGTAGTCTCACATAAGACAACGTAAGTATTCTTCTAAGAGCATTAATAGGATTTATTTCTCTGTATTCAATTGTTTAATCTTTTTCATACCAAAGCAGGTGATGATACTAACCGTCAGCATTAATCGTGGTGTTTTTTGTGATATTCTCATTCATTTAGCAAGAGTGCTGATAATGCATTACAAGAATCTGTCTACCAAATAAAACTGTAGGTATAAATTTATTTTAAGACTTTGACACATGTCAACTCCTGGTGTGTTAATTTTACCACTGTAGGTCTGGTATCAATCGAAAAATCCCGAAAGAAATGATATGACGATTTATCGTAAGGTTCATAAATAAATCAGTTGACCATGCCAATCGAAATTACGGTTTCGCACTATCAATTTATGAAGTTGTTGATGCCATATTAATAGCGCACCACAGTGTTTCTTCAGTAAACTTGTCAACTCAAAATACATGACATGCATTGTTCAATCATTCCCCAATGAAGCCAAAATTTCAACTTTGTATTGAAGTAATGGAAATATGCTGTGTAAGTTCGGCTGGAAGAGCTTCAAAAATGAAAATATATGCTGCATGAACAGATTTAAGGCAACATTCGATTAGTTCCGTATTTCGCTGTCCACATAGGCAGTTGAATGTTGTGTGGCGCATTACTCATCTCTGAGGGAAATGTGATGCTCAGTAGAAGTGCGGCTATTTGGATTGGTATTACCAGTGCTCTACAACTACTTTACCTCTCACCTTCACGGAGTTTAGTTGATCTATCGCTTGAAGGGGAATAGAGTTGACAACTACGTTACCATTGGGAGAGGTCAATACAGATCAGTTGGGTAGCCCCGCAAACATGGTGCGACAGTTGTCCTTAATTTAACTGTGTACTCATCTAAACCGCGACAGCAGTATACCGTGTCCTCTCTCCAATAGAATAGCAGTACGTCGAATGAATGCTTTACGTAATAATTTTGCCTGTACTCCGATTATGTGATGAGGATGTGCCACGTGCTATTTCCACTAACACCCAAATGTGGAATCCACATGGCTGAAACGGGGGTCAAATACTGTCTTATCATTGTCTAGCTTTCTTAATTTAGCATCTACGGGCGTCTTGATCAGGATTTGATACTTAGCTTTAAAGCTATCTACGCACTGCCACCATCACAAGTTCATGGACGAGTGGTGGTATAAGCGGATACGGTTGATTCTTCAGTTTAAGTGTGATCGTCCTCACTTAGAAAACGAATGTGGAGGCACTTCCGTTTCCTGAACCCAAGGCTGCCAAGTGCAAGGTGAAAAGGGGTAGGAGCCGTAAGGGACGCATGCTGGTATCATCTCCTATGCGTTTATCGGTTTGAGTACTTAATAGCAGGCTAAAACCTCTAATATTTGGACCGGTTATGCGAGATATGTCCTCATAGTTTATGTAATCCTTTAGGATCATTTGCTATTCCGACACAGGAGCTATGTGCCTCGAAGCAATGCAGAAGCGTTCGATGCTGAACTGAGCTGTCTAACGGTTTTAACAAAAGGGATCGCGATTTTGTGAGTAACATCATCAAGTAACAAAGTTTGCGCTGATCACTTCTCTCGAAAATCTAAAAAGTAACGAAACTGTAGAAGGTGAATCATTGAGGAATACGTAAAAGCCTTCGAAATCTTAAGCCAATCTCGTGTCCAGCGCAAGCAGTTGCAAGTGCCTTTTAAAGGTAGAAAGCATTAGAATTGACGTGGCATGTATATTCTCTTATAGGGATCGAATCCTCTTTCTGACATGTCTGTCCTCCTTTCATGTGTACCTGGAACTAACATCATTTGCTTCTACTCCAACGCCTAACCGTAAAACTAAGCAGGTTATAGAAGGAAAGTGCAAAGTGA